GAAAGAAAGCGGCGTCATCGCCAGAATATGTCTGAAGAACCAACTATTGGCACAACGTACCTCTGAAGCTGAAAGAAAGTGACATCCTTTCAATGTGCACGAGTCTGTGCACCGGGCCACTAGTCTTAAATAAAATCAAACCAGGAGCTTTTCTGGGTACAAATGCACAGTGCATTTTTTAAAGAAAAATACAAGAGATTCAGGGGATTGGTTGCACCATAGTCCCCCCCACGCCCCCCCCCCCCAATTGATGCAGGAAACTGCAAGCCCCTGCACAGATGGAAGGATGGTGGAGGTGATGACTGGTGGCGATGAAGAGAACTGGGCGAGCGCACTCTGTGGAAGGAAATCACAGCCCTCTGCCTCTGAAATCTCATAAGAAGATGCTTTATCAGCTTAGGACAGAAGGGTATTCATGGTTTTATAAAATATCCATCTGCATGCTAGAAAGCAAATCCACATATTCCTACATGAATGAAATATTAACAATAAACAACCTCCACTCTTCTCTCTGCTTCCAGGCAGCTAGTAAGTCAAGCCCGCTGTGCCAAATGGGCAAGATTTAGCCCAGAGAAAGGTCAAAAAAGGCAATGGGGAGGTTCAAAGAGGAGAATATGCTCGTTTTACCAACAGAAGTGACCTTTCCTCTTCTTTTTCATTAAATGTTTTTATTGATTTCAGAGAGAGGAAAGGAGAGACAGAAACATCAATGATGAGAGAGAATCACTGATTGGCTGCCTTCTGCATGCCCCCCACTGGGGATTGGGCCCACAACCTGGACATGTGCCCTGATTGGGACTCGAGCTGTGACCTCCTGGTTCATAGGTTGATGCCCGACGAGCCACGCTGGCCTGGCAAGTCTGGAATACTTAATCAGTATTCTGGTCCAAGAGGTAGGCAGAGTGCAGGCTGGACAGCAGGTACAATATGTAAACCTGATTAGAAATTCACCAGGTAGGTCACACAGTGAAAACGTAAATCTTCTAACAAAAGCTAAGATACTAAACTCAGAATAGTCTATAACATGTGAAAAAATTAATTTGTATAGGAAAAAGTTTAACAGTGGGCGTATTACAAAAGTAGAATATTTTAAGTGATTTTTATTTTTATAAATATATTTTATTGATTTTTTTACAGAGAGGAAGGGAGAGAGATAGAGAGTTAGAAACATCAATCAGCTGCCTCCTGCACACTCCCTACGGGAATGTGCCCGCAACCAAGGTACATGCCCTTGACTGGAATTGAACCTGGGACCCTTGAGTCCGCAGGCCGACGCTCTATCCATTGAGCCAAACCGGTTAGGGCATTTTAAGTGATTTTCAGTATCTTCAGTTTCCACTTTGGAAATATGGGCAGATTTTTGGGGGGAAAATAAACATGCATTTGACTAATTACTCCAAACTGCTCTGATAAAAATCAAATCATCCACCGATGTTCATTCATGCATTCACTTCCGTTAACGGCACAGCCAGCATGAGCCAACTCATCACTCTGGAAGTGCTCTATTTTCACAAAGTGAGTCAGAATCAATATCCAAATGCTTCCCTTTTTTTTAAAGACACAATTCTCCGTAAACCACCTGTCCCATTCTCACCCTGTCTTCATTCCTACCCATTTCCACTTTCAAGATGCAGGAAAGGGAAGAGGGCACAGCAACAAACGAGAGCCCTGTCCATGTCGGCTCATGGTCCCGGAGTCCCCACCAGCTACCTCAGCAAGGTGAGCTCACCTCAGTCCCAGTCACCAGCCCCACGAGCTCACCCACACAATAGTCGAGCTGTGCACTAGGCCTTCCCTAGTGGCCCCTTCATGGCGCTTCCCACCAAGGGAGCCTAACGCCCTTTACAACAATCCACCGCACATCTCCATCTTTAGCAGATCAGAGCAAGTGAGAGAATAAGTATTCGCAGCACACTGAGCCCATTTCTGCAGCTCCAGGCAAGGAAAAGGACTCAGCGATCTCACTCGGAGACCTCTCCTCTTCCAGGAGTCTATGGTGTATTGACCCAATAGCCTGAGGCTTTCTAAACCATCACCATTAATGACAAGCAGAAAACCCTTTAAGCACAAGGGAATGTGTCCGTGAAACCTGAGCGTCCTGCTCATCTTTTGGGTCAAAGATGACTTGTACATCACTCAGTGTTGAGTTTCAGATCCAGCCCCTGGAGCTCAGGCCACAGCGAATGCAACTGAAGCAGAAATGGTGTGGAGGCAACTTTGTTTACCCCGTCAGCCAAGGCTGTGCTGCCGGAGCCACGCTGGCTGGCCATGGCCAGGCTCACAAAGGGGCCTTGTGGTGCTGGGGCCCAGCCTCAATGGCCTGTCTGTTGCGTCTCCCGGGACATTTTGATGTCATGTCAATCTAGCTGCCAAGTCTGGCAACTGGCTCAAATCCCTCCTGCATTTCTTTTTCTTTCTGACGTCACACATTTAAGACAAATGACACTTTCCACAAATAAGGGGTAGATCTCCGAGAAGTGCTTTCCTCCTCCCTCTTACTATGCCTCCCACCTTATGTCACACCTACTGCCAAGAAAAGAAAAGCAAAACAGCCCACTTTATGCATTGCCAACCGCATACATAACAAACAGTGACTCCAAAGGGGAGGAAGGAGACTTCACCTGGGGATATTTTCACCTTCTGTCGAGCTCTGGAGGTTGAGTTAAAAATTCAGGGAAAAAATGTGAACTATCACAAACTAAACCCTGTTACCATTCTATGGGATAAAACCCCATGGATTATTTTAAGCAGCTATGGTAAACCAATGTGGTGCAAACAGCAGAGATATGAAGGCTACTTTATTTTCCTCTTCAAACCGATAGTTTTTGAGTTTAACTTTCTCCTTTGGCTAAGGAACTGAGAAATGGTAAGGACAGGAGCCCCGAGCCCCATCCTGGACTCCCCAGCGGGGTCAGACTGTGCCCACGCGAGGAAGGAGTTCTGGGCCTGTCAGGAGTCTAGAATGTTGGCACACCGCTTCAGAGCTGGCTTTCCCAACCTCCTGGGGGAAGGTGTCAGCAGCTGGGCGGGGAGTGGACAGCAGGCCAGCTCTCTCTCCGCCAAGGCCAGTCACTCCCTTTTCAGAAGATGTAGACCAAGGTATGCCCTGCACACCACCGCTGCGGTCGCAAGGAGAAGCCTCAGCACATTCGATTTAGAAACAGATAAATAAGCCCTTTGTGAGAATGAAGACTGTCCAATAAACAGGTTGTGACCACTTGTCTTCTCTCCTCATGCCCCATGCTCTCTCTCTGCAGGCAAAGTCAGCAACATCTAAATGCTGGCAAACGCCCATTTCCCCCCAACCGCCTTATTTTCAACTGCCCTATTCCTCAACGTCCACACGTAGGCAATCACTAAATCCTGTCGATTCTATTTCCCCTCCTCTCTTAGCACATCATGCTCCCCTAGCCAGTGGTCGGCAAACTGCGGCTCGCGAGCACATGAGGCTCTTGAGCCGCAGTTTGCCGACCACTGCCCTAGACCATGGTCTCAAACCTGCGCCACCCTCACCATTTCCTCTCTGGGCTATTGAAACTGTCCCCGGAGGTCCTCACAGCCTCCATTCTCCCTCCCCTCCAAGTGGCCCTTATTGCCACTGAAGTCAGCTTTTTTATTAAACACCAACATAGTCTCTTCTTAAAAACAATTGTTTATGGCCCAGCTGATGTGGCTCAGTGGTTGAGCGTTGAAAACAAAAACACAATTTTTTAAAATATATTTTTTTCATTGATTTCAGAAAGGAAGGGAGAGCGATAGAGAGAAACATCAATGATGACAGAGAATCATTGATTGGCTGCCTCCTGTACGCCCCCTACTGGTGGGGGGTGGAATCGAGCCCGCAACTCAGGCAGGTGCCCTTGGCGGGAATCAAATCTGGGACCCTTTAGTCCTCAGGCAGACGCTCTATCCAGTGAGCCAAACCGGCTAGGGCCAAAACCACAATTGTTTATGGATACATTCGAAACTTCTGAGTATGATGACACTTAAAGACCTTCACCCACCAGTCTCAACTTCCACGTTCAAACACATCTTCTTCCACCTCTTACCACACCCTATCCCACCAGAGCTCTGCAGGAGGGCAGCTCAATTCAGACAAAACCTCCTAAATTGCCTGCAGCAACGCTCACCCCCCTGCATAGTACATCCTGCTCCTTCACCGCTAACCCCCAGCTCTGATTTATCCCTGAAGACCCAACTCAGATGTCCCGTCCCGGCGGTGCTCTCCCCACTCCCTCCGGTCGTGGGTCATCCCGGCCCTCTCTCACACCCCTGTCCTAAAACAGCAGCCTGCACTGCAATGATGTGCTCAGATGCCATCTCCCTGGAGACAGTGCTGCAGGTCCTCGAGAGCAAGGACCATATACTTATCTCCGAACCAGGGCTGCACAGGATACACTCCCGGTAAGTGTTGCTGACCCCATCAACCAGTCAGAAGAGCAGCTAAGGGTCATGGAGGGGAAGGACTTTGGCAACCAGGACACTTGAGCCAAGCTCCAGCTGCCTCGGAGTGTGCACTGTGGAAATTTATTAATCTCTCCAGGCTTTAGCTTGTCATCTGTTGACTACGGGGATGGGACTATAGGATTTCTACGGTCCCTTTAACTCCACCGTCCCAAGCATTTAGACTACATTTTCCTTTAAAACCTACAATGAAGAAACACCCGATAAAACCCATAGTAATATGTTCCAGGAGTTCGGATGCTTTCCACAGAGCCAGCCAGGAAAATTCCCGCTTTGCCTGGCCACCAGGCAGAGCGCCCACGGACGGCCAACAACTCAGGCTCCTCCTCTACACTCATAAATCCCCAACTGCCCTCGGATCGGTTCCACTCGACATATTTTGGCCCCGAATTGGCTTATTCAATAATATGCACAAGAGAAAAAAAGACAACACAGCCTGCTGACAAAAACCTAACATGCCTTGAAAATGACAAATGCTAAAAACGTGACTACTGTGTTTTGAAAAGCCAAGTGAAAGGACTAGGCTCGAAAATCACCTCGTTACCCCATACTCCGGGGGTGGCTGGTACCTCAGGACGGCCACTTCCGTTCTCGCGGGCTGCGGAGCAGGGTAAGGCTTGACCATCTCGTGGACCATGCCAGGGTGCTGGTCGCTGTAGAAAAGTCCGTGCTCCTGGGTCTTGCCGACCGGGGACATCATTTGCTTGGGCTTGAAGGGGTACTCGGGTGGCGGACCCCGGGGGTCCAGCACTTTGCCTGCAGGCTGGGGTGGGGCGGGTCCCCCTGCCGCCTTGAACCCCTTGCCACTCCCTGAGCCAGGGAGGTGCTGCTTAACGCCATTCCTCTCCAGCGACAGCTGCATGATTCTCTCACTGAGCGAGCGGACGTGGCCCTGCTTAAGTTCCTTCAGCGCCTCGTCCTTATGCGCCTGCCCGCTGTTGGCACGGCTCACCGTGGGCCTCCCCTCAGTCCGGGCCTTCTGGCTGGTGCCCCCCGCCATGTAGTAACCGTGACCCACGGCCCCCTGCGGCGGCGGCGGCGGCGGCTGCTGCCCCCTGAAGAACTGGGACTGCGCTTTGGCCTCCTCGTAGGTGGGCAGCTCCTCGTTGTTCTGCTGAGGCTGCGTGGACCGGACCTGTTTCTCCATCACCGTGTTGTCCACCTGGTGTTCTTGACCCTGCGGTTCCTGGCGTGCCGACTGGTAGACCATTTGTGGGTCTTCTTGGGTGAGGTTTTCCGAGGAAGAAAAGCTGTTTGTCGGGTGGGCTGGTCCTGCACTCCCTGTGGCCTGGTGCTGAATGGCCAGCAAGTTCATGTTCTCGGTCGGGGTGCCATAGCGCAGTTGTTCCTGGATCAGCCGCTGCAATACTGTTCCAGCTGCCGCATCCTCGGAACCTCTCATTTCCACCTCTGAGATCCTCAGGAAGTTCGGGGCGTGGAAGTTACAAAGAGGATCCTCAACTACAAGGTGAACATAGGAAAAAAAGGTATCAGGCTGTTCCACAACAATATAGGTCTGTTAGTATCCGGTAAATAATTAACATTCTAACCGGAGTAGCATGTAACAAGGTTTTAAATCCACCACCGCCTCCATGTACCCTGCAGTTTCTCATGGAAGTGCTTTCTCCAATTCTGAGTGTCTCTAATACTCTCCCTTCTCTGGCCTCCTGCTTCCTCCTAGGCCAGTGATGGCGAATCTATGACACGCGTGTCAGAGGTGACAAGAGAACTCATTTTTTTGGTTGATTTTTCTTTGTGAAATGGCATTTAAATATATAAAATAAATATCAAAAATATAAGTCTTTGTTTTACTATGGTTGCAAATATCAAAAAATGTCTACATGTGACATGGCACCAGAGTTAAGTTAGGGTTTTTCAAAATGCTGACACGCCGAGCTCAAAATATTCGCCATCACTGTCCTAGGCCTTGCTCATCCTTCATCCCTGCCCTTTCCTTTAATCTCCCCAGTGGCCCCCTCTCTTCTTCATATAAACATGCCACATCTTTTCCATTAAAAAAAAAAAACAAGCAAAAAACCAAAACCAAACAATAAGAAACCCCCTTTTCATGGCCTTACCTGCATGTACCTCTAACACCCTGCCTCTCTCCTTCCCTTTTCCCTTAATTGTCCTCAGTAAGCAATGGACGCTGCTGTCTCCACTTTCCAAATGCTCCAGGCACAGCCCTCCCTCCTGCTCTAACTACTAACCAAGCCCAGTGAAAGTTTTCCAGCTCTCATATGACACAACCAACCCTTCTGAAGCGTCTGGCATGGTGATTGCCCACCTCCTGAAATGCTCTCCTAACTAGGCACCCAGGTCGTGGCTCCGGCCTCTCTGCCCACTCCTTCCCAGCCTACCTTTTCTCCACCTGCCCCTCAATTCTGGTGTTTCCCACAGCTCTGCCCTCAGTGCTCTTCCACCCTCACTCAACAGAATCTCGGGGCCATCACATCCACTGCTCATCTTCAACGACTGACCCATGACCCACATACCTACAGCTGCCAGCCAATGGTCCATGAGTCCTTCAAACACTACATGTCCTCCCCACCCCGAAAGACCTACCCACCAACCAACCCCCCACATCCTCGCCTTGTCTAATTTTTTACAAACCAGAAACCTGAGAGTTTTCTAAAATTCCTTCCTCTCCCTTACCCCCAACACCTGGTCAGTGACTGCTTGTCAATTCTACCCCCAAAATATCCCTCCCAACTCTTTTTATTCCCATGCCAATCTCTAGGTTGATTATTAATAACCACAATACAACCACAAGAACCATTTTAAAGTGCATGTGATATGCCACTGCACTAAATTCTCTCCGTATACTCATTTGTTCCATATGAGGCAGATATTAATTCCCCCAACCTTACAGATAACGCAAGAGGTTTAGGAAAGGTAAATCAGAGGTCACAGAGGTAGGAAGAGCCAGGATTTCATTCGCTGCACAACAAGATCTGTGTTCATTCCACACTTATAAGCCCTTGGCGTCTCATCCCAGACCATTCATTCCAACAGCCTGCTCATCTATTTCTCCGACACTGGGCTCATTCCCATTTCCAAACCCACCCCTCAGGCAGCAACCTGTCTCCCACGCTACCTGGAAGATTGCTCAACTGGAAAACCTAATCACATCAATGCTCTGCACAAAATTCCTCAGTAACTAGTTACAAGATGAAACTGACATTCTATCACACGGTGTAGCGCAAGCATGTCAAACTCGAGGCCGCGGGCCACATGTAGCCCGCAACAAGTATTTTTGTGATCCAGCCAATAATTATCTACACAGGAATATAAGAAACGTTTTAATAAAAATTTCATAACTTAATTTTTACAATATCCTGTTATACATAACTAGAGGCCCAGTGCACGGTGGGCTTCCTTGGCCTGGCCAGCAATCAGGGCCGATCGGGGCCATCTCGCCCAGTCCCAATCAGCCCAAAAGGGGCTGGCCGGCTGGGGAGGGACCATGGGAGGGCTCTAGGGCGTGTCCGGCCCTTTCACCCAGTCCTAATCGGCTGGACCCCAGCAGCAAGCTAACCTACGGGTCAGAGCGTCTGCCTCCTGGTGGTCAGTACGCATCACAGTGACTGGTGGAAAAGTAGAATGAATGGTCAAATGAACGGTCAGACACTTAGCATATTACGCTTTTATTTTACAGGATTATTAATAACGAACTAGAACGTTCACTAATGACTAATTACTAATAATCGTGTTGTGCTCATTTCCCTTACCTGCCTTACACTACCAAATGGTGCAGGCGCACCATTTCTCTCCACTAATACTAGCAGCAAATATTTTAGCAGCAGATTGCCACATCACTAGTCTTGGACTGACTTGTTTGGTGTGCGCAACAGGAAATATTTCGCTTTAGGAGAACAAGAAAAAAATAAGTTTATTTGCGTTACGCTTATTAATTTGTGCAGTTATTCAGCGTCTGGTAAGTTCATGTTCAATAAAATTTTAGTTTTTATTAACATGTTCTATTATTTTATGTTAACAATTACTCGTTTATTTCAGCCCTTTGTATTCAGCATGTCTCTATCGAAATAAACCTACGTTTCTATGAAAACTGAGCTTTTGTTTTTTTGCGGCCCACGTAAACTTAAACCTTGTTTATTTGGCCCGTGTTAGCCTTTGAGTTTGACATGCTTGGTGCAGCGGGTGCTGCCTGACCTTCCAACAACATTTCAGGCCACCACCACCCCACCCTCACTGGCAACCCCTTGGAGTTTAAGCTCGAATTACACCTAAGAACATAGAGATCCCAGACATGCTGGCTCTCTCTGGCCTCAGCCTTTGCTCACATTCGTCCCTCTGCCTAGAAAGATGCATGTCCCCATGTCCTCCTGGGGATTCCTCGCCATGCTGCACGTGATCGCTCCAGAGCTGCCTTCTGAGCAAGTTCTTTCCTGCTGCAGCCCAGCAGGCTCGAGCCCTCCTCCAATGTCTACTCCATTGGCACAGATCTCAGTAGATCAGTGATCACCGGAGATGGCAATTATTATCTACACAGGCTCTAAACTCCTGAAAGGTGAGGGTCATGCCTTCTTATTTGGGTCTCCCTAGCACACAACCCAGTGAGGGGGATCAAACATTTAGCCAGTAAAAGGATACGTACACAAGCTCCATGAAATATAAAATTTAGCCCTGGCTGGGTGGTTCAATTGATTGGAGCATCGTCCCGTTCACCAAAAGGTTGTGGGCTTGATTCTTAATCAGGGCACATACCTAGGCTGTGAGTTCGATCCCTGGTCAGGGTGTGTACAGAAGGCAACCGATCGATATTTCACTCTCTCTCTCTCCCTCTCCATTCCTTTCTCTCTAGAAATCAATGAAAGCATACCCTTGGGTGAAGATTAAATACACACACACACACAGGGTGTCAAAAAAATGTATACACACTTTAACAGCTTATAGCTCAATTCTAAAAATGAAATGTATTTTAATAAACATTGTCTTTAAAATTATTCAAAGTGTGGGAAACCCTATAAAAGTTACCCCATTTCACAACAGCACTAGTACGTAGCATATTGAAGATAACGTGTAGCATGGTTGTAAAATCTGTACCACTTACCACTGGCATGACCCTGAGCAAATCACTTACGCTCTCCTACCTCGACAGCCTCACCTGTAAATTGGGGAAGATGCAGTAGATCATCGCTAAGCAGCCTTCGGTTCTACAATGCCATGCAACGATGGCTGTGTTTCTATATATACACAGAACACGTCATTTCCCCCAAAGCCGTCTCTCTTTCCCAAGGTTGCCTTTTTCTAAACCTATAAATGGCATCCTCATATGACTCATCCTGATAGAAATTTCAGATTTACTTCTGAGCCTTCTGTCTCCTTTGCTCCCTCCATTTACTCAACCGCCACGCTAGGTTTTCTTAGGCCACAGTGAAATGAGAAAATAAATAAATAAAAGTGGAGTAATATGCTTATCTATAATAAAAGCATAATATGCTAAATAGGCTAGATGCCCTTCCGGACGACCCTCCGGACGAAGCCGGGGCTGCAAATACTAGTAGACGTACACTTCCACATTTACATGAGTACGCACATAGACACCTTCCATTAGGTTTACTGTCTTCTATTGGCAAGGATTACATACCGCTTATTCTCTTTGGTATTACAATATGAGAAAAGGTGACAGTAGATGACATCTTTAGTGTCACATGGAAGATTGTGACCCTGGCTTCCATGCCCTAGGCCCGTGGTCAGCAAACAGCAGCTCGCGAGCCACATGCAGCTCTTTGGCCCCTTGAGTGTGGCTCTTCCACCAAATACCATGTGCAGGCGCGCA